ATAAGTGGGGTCATGGGCCTAATTAGCCTCATTAGATTCAAGGCTGATTGTTGTGCTGGGAGTTGTTGTAGTAGATAGAAGGAATGATTTCTAACACCCCCCCTAACTATTTATTGATAGAGGCAGAAGTGACTTGAAACAAAAGTTTTAATCCTCCTGCTTAGATCTGATAATGGAGGTAAAAGTTCTAGGCGAAGCTTATCTTAGTCCTGGTATAGGCTTCGTATTGTTTAATTGGTAATTTCAATTTCAACTGCTGTTCTAGATCAGTTTAACTAAATTATCTGATTTTATGGTTCAATTTTAGTCTGCATATAAGCTAATTATTTTACCCTGATAAAAGACATCATGACTAATAGATGCATTGAGAGGTATAACACGAGATTCAAATCTGGAGAAATTTAAAGATATACTGACAGGCTCTGCATAGCACATCTTAGGTGCTTTAAACGCCTTGATAAAAATCATATGGAGGACACATCAATATACTTTATATCCACTACCTCTCTGAGATAGGTGTGCCTTTTTTGTAGATTTTCCTTGGATGTTTGAATGCAAAATATGAGATGTTTGGGACTTTTCTGGTACTTTTTTGGGATATTTCTGGGACTTTTCAAACTAACCTTAAACTCTGCCAGTTTCAAGCTGGGCCCTTGGCAAGCCAAAGGTCAACAGTTGTTCAGACTGCATTACAAGCATCCATGTCTTTTGATTCTTTTAGTTAAATATGTTCAATTTTTGCTGTAAGTATGCATTTCAGGTCAGGATGCATTAAAATCTTGCGACACACTTTGATGGGAGAAACACAAAAGGAACTCCTAGGTTTTGGGACACATGATCAAGTTCTCTTTCACTAAATAATGATTTTCTTTTTGGTAAAAATGCGTAGTTTGCTTTGGGTTGCTGTACAAATTGAATGTCTAATCATAAAACAGCAAATGATCATGAACTCTAAGGTAGCTATCGTATAATGGGTGTAATATAGGAATAGGATATTTACTACTTGCTTACTCATATTTGAAAAATGCTCTATTCTCAAATGAAAGTTATATTAACATGACTATCTGGCAGCACCTCTCTCTATCAGACTGGGAATTATCAGATGCTAAAATGTACCTTTGAAATTATTATGTGTTGATTTATTTTCTATCTTTCACACTAGAAAGGAAACTTTATAGAGATCAACAACTTTGTTTTGTTCTTTGCCATATCACCAACAACTCAAAACATATTTAGACTATGGTAATACATTTAAAAATATATATATTGTGAAGAACTCAATGAGAGAGACTTGCCTAACACCAATGTTCTGGATCTAGACAGCCTGTATCCTAAATATCTCTTCAGCTTCTTTTGCAAATCTCTCCTACGAATCCCTTATTGCTGTTTAATTACACATGTGTTTGGCAATAGTTTTAACAGTCATTCTGTCTTATAATCCACTAATGATATTAATGAGAGGGTAATCTGGAAGAGAATAATAAAAGAAAGGGTAAATATCTATTTTGTAGAGGAAATATTTCTAACATTCTCTAATAATCAAATAAGGAGAACTAGATTCATTATAAGAGTCTATGTAAATATCTTTACATTCCTGTCATCATTATACAACACTAATGGTTTCATCTAAAATTTTGAATATAGCATTTTATAGTACCATTAATACCCAGTTTTAAAAATTTTACCCTTTATGAAATTACTTCAGGTTGCAATTACATGGCTTGTGTTGAATAATTAATTAATCAGTTGCTTTTAAATCCGCATCATATTATTTGACTTTACAACCTCTCACAATGATGAGTCCATTACATACCATGAAAAAATCTTTTCTCTCGGTCTAATTTTGCGTTTACTGAAGTTTACCCTAACCATTCATTATTGTACTGTAGCGTACTATAAGAACAAACAGAAGATCAATTTTCTTTTTCTTTTTCTTTTGAGACAGAGTTTCACTCTTGTCACCCAGGCTGGAGTGCAGTGGCACAATGTTGGCTCATTGCAACCTCCGCCTCCTGGGTTCGAGTGATTCTCCTGCCTCAGCCTCCCATATAACTGGGATTACAGGTACCCACCACCATGCCCAGCTAATTTTTGTATTTTTACTAGAGGCCAGATTTTATCATGTTGGCCAGGCTGGTCTCAAACTCCTGACTTCATGTGATCCACCTGCCTTGGCCTCCCAGAGTGCTGGGATTACAGTCATAAACCATTGTGCCAACCCAATTTTCATATCTTCTGCTTTTTTAAAGACCTTTCCATTTTTTAAATCACATAATCAAAAAGACCTATACACCATTTTTAATACAGAAAAAATATACTGTGATACTCCATGATATAATATTTAAACAGCTCCCAAAGTTCCCTTTCACCGTATTCTGAAGTACAGATCTTATTGCTCTTTCTGAGGTCTGGTGAATTTTTCAACCATTGAGTGTCTTCCTTGGGCATCCATGTCCATCTAACAATACACGAAGTCAAGTAGAGTTTGTAAGGGGGCTTGTGACATGGCTTATATTTTGCTGGGGTTTCTCTCACCACACTCAGAATAAATTAGGATAATAAAATTAATAATGATATCAAATAGCTTTAATTGTGAGCCTCCACATGTACCAGATATGGTGCTTTACCATTTATATTTATAATTTTATTATGATACCTATTATAGAATAGGTACTAATATTGCCTCATAGCTTAGGTGAGTGCAGGAGCCTATAATCACATAGTTGACAAGTCAAAGAACTAGTATTACAACTCAGGGGTGACCTTGTGCCCAGTATTACACCAATCTTTTATAACCAGGAGAAAAGCTAGATGTCCAAGGATGTATTACTCATGTAATTAAATCTCATTTTTATTTATGACCCTTGAAAATATCAATAAAATAATAAATGTTACCTATTTAATAAAAGGAAATCTGTGTCTAGATAATACAAGTGTTAAGCACATGATAGTAGTAAAGCTATTGTTGATTTTTGTTTAATAAATGGCTCACTATGTCATTTATGCATATCACAGACTGCAAATTTGCATCCATGATTGAGTCTTGGTAAATTACTGTAAATCTATCTTCACAAATGTAAAGTACAGATTTGATCATTACTGTCATGTTTAATCACAGACTACAGTGCATTTTTAAGAGTGCATGAAAAATGTAGTGCACAACTTAGGGTCTTTTGTACCAGTGTTGGGTATGTTTCAAATCTCCACTTACTGCTCTAGGGTAATGGTTAGTATTTCCCAGGACCTGGTTTCCTGACTTGATTTTCAACATTCCTACAGGTATGAGAATTCTTTGAACAATGAGACATAATACAATACTCAGAGCCTTCATTGATTACACTGAAAAAAGAACATTGCACAATTTTTTAAGAGCAAAAAAAACTGGACTGATTAATTTTATATTTTTTATTTCTGTCATACTAGGTCATCTTCAAAAAATGTAGTTCTTTTTCCTACTTACCTGCTTCCTCATTTCTACTGAACAGGAAAACATTCCTAGAGAAGAATTGCATAAATATACAGATGATCAGATCTGTATTTGGGTGAGATTCTTTCTTTCTCTAGTCAACTTTTATCTCACATTTTTAAGTGCATCCCCACTTTCCCTGGGTACTATGAAACTACCACATTCAATCATTAAATAATGTTCTCTTATTTTTTTGTTTTTTTTTAGTAGAATAGTTTCACTACTCCCTTGCCTTAACCAAATTTGGGCTCTTCTGTGTGGGCACTGCTTCCCTTGGGCTGTGTAGTGTATTGGCACCATATAATAAAAGCTTGGATGCAAATAGATGGTTTTCAGACTTACTCCCACTGTTGATTTCAAGCTATTCTGCTTCCATCCGTTGCTTTCTTATTTACCAATCACCACACTTCTTGATTACCATCCACCTACTGACCATTTCCTTGGGCTCTGAAGACTTTAATAAGTGGTTCCTCTTTTTACATGTGAATGCCAACTATTAGTCCAAGAAACATAATGCTAAAATGAACTTGCTTCCACCTATAACTGATAATTTCTTGATACTTCCAATGTTATCTTTATATTTTATTAGACTTAAATAAGCATGCCCCCCACACAGTCCTTATGATGAGGACAAATGCAGATGATGTTTACCCGATAAATTTGTTATAAAGAGAGCTATTAGAAAAACAAAAACCAAAAAACAAAACAAAACAACAACAACAAAAAAAAACAAATTGAGGAAAAACCCCTCAGATATCTGGCTTGAGCTGAGAGAATAAGAAAGAGGAGATAGATTTTTTTTAAATCCTCTTATCAGCAGTTACCATAAATTATTTTTTAATTTTAGGGTTCAAAACAATTGTTATGTATCTGAATGATTAATGCTTTCTATTTTACCAACACAATTCCTTGGGTATGTATGTATCTTATCAACTGAAATTCTCTACTCCTGAAATCTTAGACTTTAATATTCTACCTGACACTTAACATCGTATCTTTTGATTATTTTATTCATTGACTTTCAGTTCACTGTATTTTCAAAGACATTTTGACTTTCATTTTCTTTAGCTTGTTTTAATCACTTGCTCTCTGAGTGCTCATGGGCTGTTTACTTAATCTGTGTGCTTCAGTTAACTCTGTAAAATGTTAGATAATGGTATCAACTTTATCTTTTTGCTATAAAGATTCAACAAGAACAATAAAAACATTTCCTAGCACACAGTAATTATCAAATGATTCTTACTTATTCACATTAATCATACTATTCATATCATCATTTTATTATTATGTTGTCTGTTCTCCAAATTAGTCCTTTCCTCACTTTTCCTTTCTTTATTCACCAAATTTTCCAATGATTTCATATTCTCTTTCTGCATGTTCAACTATCATGCTCATTTTGCCTTTTCCTGGACCCACATAGGAAATTGCTACTAATAAATCAATCCCATTAATATAATTACTTGTTCTGTTCCCATACCTACACTTCTAAGAGATGCCGAAAAATAAACTACACAACGAAAATGCTAGAGTCGTTAGCAGCTACTCAGCTGCTTAAGCTGGCCCACAAGTACAGACCAGAGACAAAGCAAGAGAAGAAGCAGAGGCTGTTGGCCCGGGCCGAGAAGAAAGCTGCTGGCAAAGGGGATGTCCCCACTAAGAGACCACCTGTCCTTCGAGCAGGAGTTAACACCATCATCACCTTGGTGGAGAACAAGAAGGCTCAGCTGGTGGTGATTGCACATGACGTGGATCCCATAGAGCTGGTTGTCTTCTTGCCTGCCCTGTGTCGTAAAATGGGGGTCCCTTACTGCATTATCAAGGGGAAGGCCAGACTGGGCCGTCTAGTCCACAGGAAGACCTGCACCACTGTCACCTTCACACAGGTGAACTTGGAAGACAAAGGCGCTTTGGCTAAGCTGGTGGAAGCTATCAGGACCAATTACAACGACAGATACGATGAGATCCGCCGTCACTGGGGCGGCAATGTCCTGGGTCCCAAGTCTGTGGCTCGTATCGCCAAGCTCGAAAAGGCAAAGGCTAAAGAACTTGCCACTAAGCTGGGTTAAATGTACACTGTTGAGTTTTCTGTACATAAAAATAATTAAAATACAAATTTTCCTTCAAAAAAAAAAAAAAAAGAAATTCATGATTTCCAATATCTGCTGTTAGTTCAACACCACTTGGCAATTCGATTACAGGTCACGAATCAGTCTTCATTAGGCCCTTTGGTGGTGACTACAGACTTTCACTATGCTCTCAAGTCTTTTGTATATCATTTTATCCACATCATCCACAGTATATAAAATGAAAACAGACACCAACTTCCTAAATTTCATATACCTCTCATTTACGAATTCATCTACCCTTGAACTCATGGATATTTTCTATGTTCCTTGAGATGGACAAAAGTTGCCTCTCTGAAGTCTAATTCATTTCCCTGGTTTTATTTTATCCCAGACTCTTTTAATCTCTTCTTGGAAACTACTTTGTAACTCATGTTTGTTTCTTTGCATTGAAATACACAGGCTCCAATGTATTTCCATTAAGACAAAAAGAGAGAAAAAAAAAAAAACCCTTAAATATTTTTCCTTCAATTTCCTACTCTTTCCTGTTATAGTCAAACTATTAGCAAGAAAAGTCTGTGGTCACTGTCCTGATTTTCTCAGAATATGTCTACACCTTAGTCGTCAGCAGTTTGTTTTCCACTTATTCTATTTACCTTTCCACTAAATCTATTTTGGTAAAATTAGTTTATTGGAACATTATTTATAATGGTGACTAACCTGTGATAAATGTCATGTAGTGTCTCCCTACCTCTCTCTTTATTCATCTGTCATGTGTTTTGACCTCCAAATTCAAATTTATTTTGAGAAACAAAATAAACATTTTTAGAGCAAAAATGCATGGTGCTATGTTCTCCATTCTGTCTCTTTTCACTGCATAGCAGAAACTTAGGGATAACCAGGGATGGTATCATGTTTTCATCTAAATTGAACATGGCTGATGAAGCTTTCTAATGCCGCCTTCGGAAGGTGTTTTTGGTTTTGTTTTAGATTATGGCAGTAATTTCAAAAATTATGGATATTGGGAGAACCTTATTCAGTGTAGTAGTCTTTGGCTTATTAATTGCATGGCATTATATAACCTTCTAATATAATATAGTGGCTGTCTGTCTGTTCTAATCCCAAGGCTCTAGGGGTTCTGTAGAGCCTTGTTAATGGCTGCTGTGGCTGGGAGGGACCTCATAGACCTCACAGACCTCAGAAGCAGCATCTTCAACCAGGGCTGTTTCATCATAACATATATCCCAATTACATATTTTAATCAATTTTGAATCTATTTAAATCTCATTGAAGGGCTTAAATTTTCAAATTTAAAAGTTGTAAGACATATACCTGACATATACATTAGAGCAATAATCAGTTTTACTTACAAAGTTATAAGACAGGTAATATTATTACCTTCATTCTATAGAGAAAAAAAAAAGCATAGCTTTCAGGTATAAATGCTAAAGATGACTCAGTTGGTCATAGCTAGAACTGAACTCAGATCAATCTAATTTCAAATAATTTGTTTCTATGATACCGAAATAAAATATGTTTTGTCTAACACAGTGCGTGCCTGGCAATAGTAACAATAGGGGCCTACATAATTTCTGTTATCTAGTAAATCCTCAATTATAATATGATTCTTTCTTATATTTACAAAATGGTTTAAATATTACAAAGTTCTTATAAAGTCCTGGTCTTAGTTGAAGCCCAATGCACTTCTGTAATGTACACAGACTAGATAATAACATTCTCGTTTTTCAGATAAGAATACAGATACTTGTATAAATAAATGGACTTGAACATAATTAGCAAGTGGCACAATTATTTGACTTTTTGCATTTTCCCCACAAAATCAGAGTGATTTATGGGAAACATTTATTTTGTTTTGTTATTTTTGAGACAGGATCTCACTTCATCACCCAGGCTAGAGTGCAGTGATGTGATCAGAGCTCACTGCAGCCTCGACCCCTATCCCCGGCTCAAGCGATCCTCTCACCTCAGCCTCTCTAGTGGCTGGGACTACAAGCACATTACACTACACCTGGCTAGCTTTTGCAATTTTTGTAGAGTTGGGTTTTCGTCATGTTGCCCAAGCTGGTCTCAAACTCCTGGGCTCAAGTGATTCTTCTGCCTCAGCCTTCCAGAGTGCTAGGATTACAGATGTGAGCACTGTACCTGGCCAAACAACAATTTTATATTACACTCATAGATGAGAATAAGAAGGGCAATGTTATAAAATAGTTCAAAACATTCTTACATAATACTACTTGATAGTATCAATTATAACCCATCTTTTCATTTTTCCTTTAGCTTTAAACAAAATTTTATTTAAAACAGTTTTTTTAATCTTGAAGTTCTGACACTTAAATATCCTTATTCTGAGATTAAGGTGTTTATTCTTTCTTTACTGAAAATTTTGAAGCAATCAAAATGATTTTCACTATTATCCACCCCTTTATTGCCTCGTCTATTAGAATCTATACTCAAATGTGCTGATTTCACATCTGTTATAAATGATTTCTGCTCATGTCACAATATAATTCTTCCGCTTAAAAAATAAATTTATATGTTCATTATAGCTTGGTTTTTAATAGGCTTTAATTTTTTAGAACAGATTTTGATTTACAGAAAAAAATGTGCAGAAATTACAGAGTTCTCCCATATCCACTATTCACCTCCTCACAATTCTTGCTAACATCTCGAATTAGTGTGGTACATTTATTACGCTTGATGAAACAATATTGATACATTGTTTTTAAATCCCATAGTTGAAATGAGAGTTCAGTTTTTGATTTGTACAGTTCTGAGTGTAAACACATGCATAATATTCTGTATGTGCATTACAGTACCATACATAATGTCTTAGTTGCTTCCAACTATTGGCAATTATGAGTCAAACTGCTATAAACATTCATGTGTAAGTTTTTGTGTTCACATAAGTTTTCACTTCACTTGGGTAAATATCTAGGAGCAAGATTCCTAGACCTTGTATTAAGCCAAAAATGAACTCAGATAAATTAAATAGAATTCTCACTGAAATATCCATTGTTTGGATAAGTAATGAGCACGTCAGACCAAAATCGAGAAAATTAAATATTTTTGAAAAACTGTTTTATTGCTGTCTCTAAATGGAAGATTTATATATATTGCTGTCTCTAAAATGGAAGATTAATTCTTTTAAAAAAATGAAGATTAGTTCTTAAAAAAAAAGTTGAAACAAACACTGATTTTCTGTGGGAATCTAATTGCTGAAGCTACCCTTTTAATATTTATGGCTATAAATGCTTTAGATAGCTGTTTCTTACATGACCCATCGTATTGTAATCCAGTGTGAACGAACATTCCGGTCCAGAGGGTTTGTACAAAAAAGTAAAGGCTGAGAAACACACCACCCACCAGTAGACAAATGTCAAAACAAAATAGCTAGAGCTGTTTGCATCCTCCTCGTCTGTCACTCCAGACAGTGAGAGTGGTGTCTTTATAATGCAAATAAATAAATAAATAAATGCAAGAAAAGAAAAGAAAAAGAAAAAAAGAAGAAAACAGTTTGCCATATATTCGTTTTTGAAAATCATGAAGCACAAAGGTGGAGATGGAGAATATGCATCGCAAATAGCAGTGATTCATATACTACAACAATATTGTCTTTTTAAATCAAATATCAACATATTGTGACTTCTAATATTGATGGCTTTCCTATGTACTTTAATATTATTATTTAAATTATCTTTAAATTGAAGTGTGTGAGTGTTCTCTGTACATTTGTGAGGTTAGATTACTAGGACTTTTAACTTTGAGACATAAGAATAATCAAATAATTAATTAATAAATGTTCCCTTCCAACTGCAAGAAAGACAGTATGCTAGTAGAAGAATGAATAATCAGTTAAATGAGTTAACAACATCCAAGTTCAGATGTTTCAATTTTCACTCTTGAATTAAGTTAACGCAAGTTTCTAAAACCAAAGAATTTAAACACACACACACACAAACACACACACACACACACACACACACACACACACACACCCCAAGTAAATATAACGTAGTATTTTGAGATGAAAATATTGAAAGCCTAAAAATTCAAATCCCTTTATTCTGAGAAAGGAATTCAACATTACCGTAACTTAGTTTTCTCACCTATAACATGGAAAAACAAATATAGTTGTTTTATAAATTAATTATTGCCACACTCTTAAATACAGTGTGAATTATTTACCAATAGTATTACTATAAGATATTCTAATTTTGTTGTTGAATTCTGTTGCTATTACTTTTAAATCTTTCATTTCTGTTTGTATGTGTTTCATACCATCACATATTGTGCTACATAACTACACAAGAGAAAAAAAGTTTGCATTCAACACAATTGTATTTATTTACATTTTCTACTTTACACTTGATACATTGCATTAAAATATTCTTTGTTTTCTTTCTCTAAGATTCACTGTGAACAGAGAAATATGTATTATTATTTTTTATTTTCAACTTATTTTTAAGGCTGCTGTAAGTATTGCCTGCATATTATTTAAAATACATATAAAGTTCCTGGAATAATAAGTTTTGATCATGCTTCACTTTTGCTGTGAAAAAGACCCCACTAATATACCACTTTACCTGTGAATTTATGTGTGTAAATACATTACATGTATAAATATATACATGTTACTACTGAAGTAAAGCATAGAAAATATGCAAATAAAGCTATTTATAGATGAATTATTTGTATAAATATATGATTTTAGAAATGTCATCACAAAATGTAAAGTAAAATTAAAACGATGAAAATTTAATGAACTTTTGAAAATTATTATTTTGTATTTTCTACTTGGCTCCCTCAGTACCCTAAGAAACAACTCATTTTAGTGTCCCAGTATGTACTGTTTAATGGTATTTCTATGCTTTTCCTGATTTATAACAAGAAATAATATTAACCTGTATTTAAGGCAGGCATTGTCCAAATGTTCACAGCTGATATTTCAAAATGTGGCAATAGAAGTCAAAAGGAAAAGTGATGTTTTTATGTAACAGCAAATAGAGTATAAGTACTTTTATTAAAATAAAAAAGTGTC